ATACTCTTACAAGATCCTTCCTCTTTTTTTTTCACCAAACACGAATTGTTCTTAAGTGCTCTATTTCCACATGTGTTAATAGTAGTCTTAACTTTAACATCTAAGTTATTGAACTTTTCTACTCCTTCACTTTGACTTAGCCGGAATGATTGCAGAGGCTCTTTTTTAGATTTTGAAGAAAGCATATGATCCTTAACAGCAGAATCTTCAGAGAACCAATAACTATCACTAGAATTGCCCTGCCCATAGTCATCTGCATCAAAATTAGAAGAGTTCACTTTAAGCCAGTCAAACTTATCCTTAGTTTTTCTTGAATTGAAATCTCCTGTGGGACATTTCATCTGATCAAGAAAACTTGTTGAACTGTCAATGCTATTATGCATGTCCTTTTGTGGGAGAGACTTAGATTCATTCACACTTGCTGGTAAAATTTTAGAGGATTCATTGATTGTTTTTCCATCTTGCAACATTTTAACACTCTTATGTTGAAGTTGTGTCTGCTGGGATCTATTAGATAAACTTTCAACAATTCTACTTTGACTTTCCAAATTTCTGGTATCAAATAGATTTTTTTTACATGTTATCTCTATCTTTTTCTGCAATTGTTCCTTATCTGCCTCATCTGATTCTACAGCATTTTCATCAGTATAAAGTGGGGAATAAGAAATGTCACTGTCATTCAAATCAGCATCTAAGAGAGAGGTATTCTGTTGAAAAGAGCAAAGTTGACTGTTTAGCTTCTCTGTTTGAGTTTCTTCAGAAAAAAGATTAAGGCATTCAGACAGCTTTGGTTCATCTATATGCTGTATTGTATGTTCAGTTTTTTTAATATTTCCCAAAGATGAAGCCATGATGTTGATTACATTGATGGAATTCATAGTCATTGAACTCTGTTGTGGTAATAAAAGAGACTGTTTTGATTTTTCCATACTCTGAGAGACCTTCACATCCTGTAATACTCTACAACTGAATTCATTATGTTCAGCAGCACCAGGTCTAATGAAATAATTTTCTGCACTAAATAATGAGGGTGCAAAGATAAAATCCTGTGCTCTACTTGTTGCAAGTTGGAAATGGCTGTAGCGTTTGTAATGAGAAGGAATGACTGAAGAGCACAAAATGCCATCAGGACATTCTAATAAAAGAAGGAAAAAAGTATTAGAAAAATGTTTTTGAATATAGCACAAATGAAAAACAAGATTTACTGAACAAATATTACAATCCTGAAAGTTATGCTTTAAAAAACATGGCTAATACAGACAACTTTTCATATTGTATCTTTATTTCTTCAAATTGAATTTATCTATGAGAATGCAAAACTTCTAATACAATGCCTGATGGAAACATAACATGATTTGTAGCAAAAAGAGTTCAGTGCAGGTATAAATGTCTACTTTTTCTGAATTACTTAACTAAATACATAATGGTTAACCAGTCTTTTCTAATAAACTTCAATAGGCTATGGGGGATTTTTTAATGACAATTTTCAAATTCAAATAATGGTGGTTGGAACAGAATTGTTTTATTTTACTGAATTATCTGCAATTGTTTTTAACTTGGTAAGCTACTCTCTGTAAAAAAAATGCATCACAGACTTTCTTTACTCACCAGATCTCTTGTACAGGATTTTGTTCTTTAAAATTTAGTACATGCTTTTTAATTCATGCCTTAAAACTATAGTTTCCTAATACAATTTCAAAAATCTAGCTTTTTAAAGAATTAATTCAAAGACTACCAAGATTTGTTTCAATATATGGTTGCCATTTTCTTAGCTCTGGCCTCTGATTAATCAAAATCTAGTCAATGTTTTTCAGATACTGAGTTGCGTGGCGAGATTATATTGTTTGCACTTCTTAAAGGAACATAGCCTGTTTTCAAAAACAAAGTAGAAGGGCCCTTGCTTCCCATTAAAACTGTACCTTTTTCAGCAGTCCCTGAGACATCCAAACATTCGGTAACATGCCACTGAGGTGTCTGGATCAACAATAAAGAGAATGGCATTTGACAACTTGGACAGTACCCCTCAAAAACTGGTCTAGCTTTTGCAGAGTTTTGCCTCTTGCAGATTTTTGTTTCTTTCGCCGAAGTTGTTGACAGATCTTCCTGTGATGATTCAATAGGATCACCACTGCAAACTCTTGGCTTTACGGGGGTCTGACTACGTCTTTGTCTTGGCCTTTGCTTTGTCTTCTTAGGGACACCTTTTCCTTTGGGTGCTTTCCCACCATTTCTGTTGTCATTTCTTTGTGATTTACCATTTTCAAACTTTACTTTTTGTTCTTCAGTAGCAATTACTTCTGAATGTTGGCTTGTAGGCTTTTGCTTCCTGATAGATTTATATTCCCAAATGTCTTCCTCCAAAAAGCCATCTTCACCCATCACAATCCATCAATGAAGGAAATATCTTCTTTAGGAAAAAATACTTCATCGAATTCAGTTACATTATTTTACTATACTTATAAAATAATAAGTATCAATTGCCGTATTATACATCATGCTATCCCACTCATATAAATGTTACAAATATATAGTTTAACGTTCAAGTGCAATAATTGACATTTCAAATATTAAGGTGCACTTAGATTAGAATCTACAATTCTAACAATGAGGCCAGTTTTTAACCCTCTTATTTTTGAGAAATTTGACTAGAAAATCTTAGAACTGTTCCACAGACTTCTTTTCTTCCTGTGTGATCCTGAAATACAAATAATAAAATAAAACAAAATTCCTTTAACAATTCTTCATTTAGAAATTATTCTAAATATTCTAAAAACACAAAGAATCATGTCTCCTATTGATCATCTGAACTGAAAAACAGTAGCTAAATTTCAAATACCTTTCAATAAACCCTGCATTGTTACTTCATTTTATAACATTTTACAATAGATAATATCTCCAAGCACACTTTAGGTTTAAGAGTTGGTCTCAGAAAAGCAAAATAGTATTTTCCCTCTTTCTGCTTTCTCCCCATGTTCTTTCAATATAAGCCTGACATAAATGTAATACCATTCACAGCAGGGGTGTCAAACTTGTGGCCAGTGGGCCAGATGTGTCATGTGCTGGCCCTGGCCGGTTTAATGAAGGGGAAAAATGTCCCGATATGTCACGTGATGCTGCTGTGATAACATGGGTTTGACACTCCTGATCTACAATATTTTTGTTTTGAAAAACTTCCTTATGCTGGGGAGAACACCAAGGGCTCTTCCCTCCCTTCAAGACAGAAAGAAAGTAGAAAACAGCTGCTATCCCAATGGTTCTGCCTTGTCTTGCCTTGAAAATAAGGCCGCACAAGCTGTTGCAAGGGACAATTTCCTCTGTTGTGCTGGGGAAGTAAGATGCAAGAAACAGGTGAAACATTTCCCTTTTCCACTGCCTGCCTCTTTCTCTAATTCTTCAAGTGTGAATAGCATGCCTTTGCTCACCATAGCAATCCCTGCACTTGCAGTCCTCCAGTCATCATTGTGGAAGATGACAGACGTTACCAGTGGGAAACAAATTTGTGGTATAGCTAGTCCTCAACTTACGACCACAATTGAGCCCAAAATTTATGTTGCTAAGTGAGTTTTGTCCCATTTTACAACTTTCCCCACCACACTTAAGTGAATCACTGCAGTTCTTAAATTAGTACCATGGTTGTTAAGTGAATGGTTCCCCATTGACTTTGCTTGTCAGAAGGTCGCAAAAGGGGATCACATGACTCCGGGACACTGCAACCGTTATATGAGTCAGTTGCCAAACATCTGAATTTTGATCACATAATTCACTTTCCTCCCAATGCCGTTGTAACTTTGAATGGCCACTAAATGAACTGTTGAAAGTCAAGGGCTACCTGTACACCTTCAATGAGTTGAGAAAAGAATCAGTTAACTGCCCAATAAGTCTCTCTGCTCTCCAGCAACCAAAAGAAATGGCCACAGAAATAACAATTCCTGTGGCTGGATGCAGAGTGATTAGTCCTGCAGTAGAGCAGCTAAATTCCTGCAGTGCTGACCCGTCTCCAGCTCTGCATCCATGCTAATCAGAAGTTTAATATGGGAGAAAGTTATATTTTTGCACTAGCAAACACTATTTTCCTACTCAATCTCTTTGATCTAGGTTCTTGAGTGAGGACATGTCCTTGGCAGCCATCTTAGAGCTAAGGTGGCTGTATTCCAAGTTTCTCCCTCAGAGTTGCATGCAAATCTTACTTGAAATTAAATCACATTGCATTCAGCAAAACATTTAGCTCTATGGTATGTTCCCATAGTTCATTCTGTTTAGTTTTAACCCCAGTATATGTGGGCAGAATTTTAGCTTCAAGGATTATTAGGTGTTACATTTCGGTAATCCTTGGATATTCTGCAAACCACCTGAATGTAGGACAAGAAGCAGCAATGGGCAGAAACTAATCAAGGAGAGAAGCAACCTAGAACTAAGGAACTATTTCCTGACAGTGAGAACTATTAATCAGTGGGATAATTTGCCTCCAGAAGTTGTGAATGCTCCAACACTGGAAGTTTTTAAGAGATTGGACAACCATTTGTCTGAAATGGTATATAGAGTTTCCTGCCTGAGCAGTGGCTTGGACTATAATACCTCCAAGCTCCTTTCCAACTCTGTAATTCTGTTAACTATGATCTTGACCTTTGGACAATATCCGCATCGAAATGAATGGCTTCTCCATCCAAGAGAGGGGGATAATTGCGCACGTTACCTCAGCAGGTTTCTTCCCCTTAGGAAGCAGCAGCTCCATTCCAAATCCCTCACGCCTTCGAGAGCTCCAGTCGCCGCCACTGATTTCATCCCTTGTTGGCGGCTCTTCCCTTCGTCCTCCTGTATCATTGCGATGAGTTCCGCACTTTCATAACAACTAACCTCCCTACTTTTCCTTAATTTTTTTTAAAAATACTATTTTAATATCTTTCGGGGCCAGAAAACCACTCCTACACTTGTTTGGCCTGCAAACTCAGATTTGTTTCTGGCGAATCTGTGAAAAGGAAACAAAAATACCGGCCGGGTATCCGTTGTCGAATGTGCGAATTCTTGCGCTATTTTGGGGGGTGGGAAGCATCGTAGCGATACAAAGGAATAATAACCCATCTTTGGTCCAAAGTTTTTATTGGGCATGAAAATATGGGGCGACGGGATTTTAAATATTCGGGATATGGGGGATCGGGTTGGAGTTCGCTACATGACCGCACCGAGCTGAGTTTGGAAAGTGCTGGAAGCCAAACGGAAGAGCAGTTAGAGTTACGCCCGTTTTTTTGTGCTCTGGCGGGCAGGGAGGGGAAGAGCGATGGCGGCGACTGGCGGCTTGCCGGCTCTTTTGCCTTGGCAGAGCCAGTTGGATTACGCGCTGGAGGATGCCACCGCGCTTCAAGAGAAGGAAAACTTGGTGTATCAGCACGTGAAAAAGGTGGACGGATGGGAACGGGATTTGAAAGTGCCCGAGTTTGGAGCAGGTGAGCAGACCCTGTCCACCGGCTCAGCTACCCTAAGTAGTTGGGCGTCCACGGGTGTCTGATCTCTTTGCAGGAGCCGTCCAAACTTTTCCAGTCTTCAGATTTCTCCTGGTTGTCAACTTATAGCTTTGCTCTTCTCCCGCGCGACTTTATTGGGATTTTAAAAAGCATCATATGATCCCTGATCTTCTCTGAATCGTTTTTTTTAAAGAATCCTGTTTGACAAAGGAGAATATTTGTAGCTTGGGTTGAAAATGAGGGGTACTTGGTGCTCTCTGAGCTACGGAAGTAATTTCCAAATTGTGGTAAATAATACCACAAATAATAAATAATACCATAAATAATAGATTTATGTTGCTCACTAAGCATAATTCTGAAAGATGATTGGTACTCCCTGAACCCGCTTGTTTTCTTGCAGATGTTTCATTACATAAACTACTAGGTAACATCTGTGCTAGTAAGGAATGGTCCCAACAATCAAGAAGTAAACAGTACCTTAGCTAATAGTAAACAGCCCAACCAAAGAACCTTTAAGACCACCATCACCAACACTGACTATAATATAAATTGAGAGCAAACCCCATTCCTTACTAACATTGATGATGTTACCTAGTTTGAGTAATGAAACCTCTACAGGAAAACAACCAACTCAGAGTACCAAGGATCCTTCAGAATTATGTTTAGTAAACACCACAATTTGGAAACTACTTTTCTCTATTAATTTGCAATCAATTATTTTAAGCTTATTTTAGCAGCCTATCAATACTGTTTTGAATATCATTTTTTCTTCTGCAGAATTAGTGGTCTTACACTATTTGTTACATAAGCAGTGTCTCAGTCTCAGCATTCAAATGATAAATAAAATGTTTTATACATTTATTGTTTTATCATAAAAAGTAAAATACAAAACAGAAAAAAACCCAAAATGAAACAAAAGCATATATTAAATACTAACAATAACAAAAAGAAAAAAACTGTATAAAAAGAGAAAAAAGTGATCAAATAAATTTAACATTAACATATATATATATATATGTGTGCGTGTGTATGGTATTCAGCTTTGTTCGGGTATTTTCCCACATCATTATAGTTGTGCTTTTAAAGTTGTAGCAACGTTTCGGCAGAATCTCATCTGCCATCATCAGGCTTCTGTATAGTGTTTGTCTCACAAAACAACTATAATGACATGGGAAAATACCCGAAAAAAGCTGAATACCATACATATAAATACCTGTGAAAACTTATGTTTTCTTAAGTTTTCTTAAGTATGTGTATATTAATAAAACGTTGAAAAGTTTGAGATGAAGGACTGAAATTTATAGCATTCTGCTTATTTCTTCAGTTAAATGGAAAAACATTGATAAGCATTTTTGTATGATTTTGAACCCTCTGTTTTATTTGTCATATCATCTATCCTAGTGATTCTCAACCTTTTCTTCACCATGGATCCAATACTTAACTCAAGATTTATAACATTTAATGTTATAAATTTCAAGCCTTCGCAGACCTTATGTGATGAAATTACGATCCCACCCTACCCCAAGGAATCTGGGAACCACAGGTTGAGACCTTCTGATCTATCACATAGATTTGACAATTCTTGTGGGCTAGAAAAAGACAAGAGTACTTAGTTTTACACCTTTGTTTTTGTTGCCTCCTAACCATTCCCCTACGCTTTGTAATATTGAGTACCTGTTTAGTGTCTTGTACACATAAAAAACAATTTGATCAAGCCAGCAGCTTGGGCTGAGAGCCAAGGGCTTGTTACATAGACAACTTATTCTTTTGATATCCCTCTCATTAATTTATAAGTTCTGCCGGTAAGGGGGAAGCAATTCATTGCTTTCAGTGTGTATATGAGCAAACAACTTTCTTGCAATCTCTTCCTCTCCAATCCTTCTGCTCTTTTCTTGGATGGGGAAAAGGTCAGGCAAAGGAGACATTGCTTACTGAAATCACTTCTGAAGCCTCCCCCCTGCAGAGCTGAGATTGGAGAGAAAGAGATTTCAAGAGAATAAACTGCTCTTATGCATAGTGAAATCAATGTAGCCACATCATCACTCTGAGAACCACAGGTGCATTATGCAAACAGATTATAATATTCCTTTGAAATCTCTTTAATCTCCTCACTCTGCAAGAAGAGGGCAGAAACAAAGCAATTTCTGTAAAAAAAAACTCCTTTGCTTGACCCATCCTTCTTCCCTCCCCCAGAATGAAGAGATTAGAGAGGAAGAAATTTCAAGAGAGTACAAGTATTCCTCAAGTTATGACCATTTATTGAATGACTGTTTGAAATGATGGTACTGAACATGGAGTCTTATGAACAGTCCTCAAAGTTCCAGCTGTGGCAGCATCCCTGCAGTCATGTGAACAAAATTTGGGTGTTAGTAAGCGCCATGCACATTTGGTTGCAGCACCCCTGCAGTCATGTGAACAAAATTT